TATGCTAGCTATGCTATAAACCTCGTAACAGCATGATATTTCATGCTTTAAATATTGTAGTAACCCGTTTATTTACAGCAGGGGTGTTCAAACTCGGTCCTGGAGAGTTTAGCTCCAACCCTAATCAAACACACCTGAACCAGCTAATCAAGCTCTTACTAGATACACTAGAACAGGGGTGTCCAAACTCGGTCCTGGAGGGCCGGTGCCCTGCATAGTTATTACCTCCAACTTCATTCAACACACCTGCCTGGAAGTTTCTAAGTATACCTAACAAGAGCTTGATTAGCTAATTCAGGTGCGTTTAATTGGAGTTGGAACTAAAATATGCAGGACACCGGCCCTCCAGGACCAAGTTTTGGACATCCCTGATTTACAGCATGTTAGCAATATGCTAACTATGCTAGACAGATTAGCAACATTTATTTATTTAAAGGATTCAAGGATGCATAAACCTTAAATTTACCATGAAGTGCTTTAAAATGTGCATTTTTTTTATTTTTTTTTTAAAATTTGACACAATCTCAACTATAATATGAAGACAGACATATAGTAGCTCCTCTGCTTTTATAAAAAATACAAAAAACAGACATAGCGTTTTGTTTTTACTGTATATAGCAGCCCTGTGAGTAAGAGTGGTTGAGCTCAGGCGCGTCAAATGAGAAGTGTCATGAAGGGGGAGGGACATGTCAGATACTAGAGAGCATTTGATAGGTCAGAAGATTTGATGAGTAAATGAAGTATGAGGTGATGCCAAAAAATATTGGCTGCGTCCGAAACCGCCTACTACTCAGTAGGTACTGCATTTGAATTTAAACGTACTACTCGGCCGTTAGAAAAGTACGTTCTGTACAGTATGAATGTGAAAACTATGAATGAAGTTCGGACGTACTACATCCGCCATTTTGTCATAATCACATGACCTACCTGCGTCAATTGCGTCGCTTTACTCCCATTCATGAATTCGCTCGCGGGGCATCATGGGATAGCGCAGCATGCATGCGATGCACTCCAGAATCTCGCCGGAAGTAGTAAGTCATCCGGGTACTTCTCGCATACTGATTTTCGAATTGTATGGCTGTTTCTCAATATGCGTTCTTCAGCGGTCTTGTGTTCTCGTGCAACGCAAGTGTGCCGCAAGCCTGCGTTTGAGTGAAGGTTTCGGCCGTTAGATCGCCCCCTGGGGGCTGGCTGCAGTACAAGTCATAAAGCCCGCCTCCTCCGTGTTAATGAAGGAGACTTAAGCCCAAATAAAAAAAAATATTACACTTGCAATAAAATGTCCCGAAAGATAGTTCTGGTCGATTAAGGCACTGGTTATTGTGCTGAAATAGGTGCAGATCTTCATTTTTGTAAACAGTTTGTTTTTAGCAGTAATTTATTGCTGGGCGTGTCATCGTGATACACAGCTGTGATTGACAGTTTCTCAAAGCGCGGCGTCTGAGCTTCGGCAGGAGACTGAAGTAGACTGAATGTTATTATTCGATTTCTGTGTTATTTTACCATGACAAAATGAGTTCAGCAGTAAACTATAGTTTCTGACATACATGATCCTGGTGGAACACTGTTTATTCGCCAAGTTCAGGGCTTTTTTCGGGCTTTATTAGTTTGCTGATACACGCCTAGCCACCCAGATAACAAAACACAGTTCCGGCTAGATTCTCGCCTGCCGGAGACTTATCTCTTAGAGCTCAGACTGACTAATGTTACCTCTGCTGGACCTACTCCGGATGCCTGGACTCACTGCCCGATTCCAGTCCGAGTCAATCGAGCCAGATGCGGCGGCCGAGCGAGCAGGCGCTGCCGCATGCGAGCCGGAATCAGCCCGCGACGCCGCGAGTAAGTTATGCGCTGCGGCCTGGAGCTGGCGCGATTGAATATATAAAACCCTCATATTTGTTAACGTTGTTACATCCATTTGTGTTGGTATGACAGCAAACGCATGCTGAGAAGTTCGGGGGGCGTAGTTGATTTTACATAAAGCGTTTGATTGGAAGCTCGACTCTGCTCATTTTCGCGGCTCCTCCTCTGGCTCCATCAGACAATCCTTCTGCGCATGTCTGGCTCCAATTTCAGCAGTCTTTTGCGACAGTTTGTGCCCGTCAAGCAGGCGTTTTGCCCTCAAGGCGTTCAATGGGAAAAAGGGCTGTCGCGTCGTCCATATTTTTTACAGTCATTGGTGCAACGTCATCATCAGCTGCCTAAGTTCAGTTCCAATACTCAAGATTGCAAGTACGGAGGACGCGTGAAACTTCCCAGATGTGATCTTGATATCGAGGACGCACTAATGCAGACTTGAGCACCGAACTCGCTCTGAAAGTCCCAGAAGTCATTGCGACTGGAGGTGGGAAGCGCAGCATTTAATTTAGATTTATTATTAAGGTTCAGAGATATCACTTATTTACCTCAGGACTTTCCCTAAATGAAACGGTGAAAGTAAACATTAACATGAATATCTTAATAAAGGAATAAACACATTAAGGTTGTTTGTTTGCTGAAATTCATATTAAAATTTGTTTTATTTATATTGTGCAGAGTATATTTATAATGGTTTTTATGCAAAGTATATATTTTGAAGAGGGGGGAAACAATAAATCGTTGTATGAGTGCTGTAATTTTTTACAGCATCCTGTTGCTGTAATTGTTTAAATAATTTCCATTTAAAACACGTGAAGGTCATGTGACCATCAGGAAGAACGCAGCATCCCATTTCTCAAAGGACGCGTTCTCTGCCCTCGCGGTCTCCTGAGTTCGTTCTTCCGAAGACACCCGGCAAGACTGGTCTCCACAAGAACGCAAGTCCGTTCTCTGCCTTCTTGGAATTGAGAAACAGCCTATGAATTCGGACATACTACTCGGCTCGCGTACTGGTTTTAGCATACTATATAGTATGGAAGTATGCGGTTTCGGACGCAGCAATATGCCATCATATAGGTGGAAGAGACCAACTGCAAGCTTTAGATCAGGGGTCACCAAACTTGTTCCTGCAGATCTTAGCTCTAACCCTAATCAAGCACACCTGAACAGCTAATCAAGGCCTTATATGCATACTTGAAACACTCAGGCAGGTGTGTTGAAGCAAGCTGGAGCTAAACCCTGCAGGGACACCGGCCCTCCAGGACCGAGATTGGTGACCCCTGCTTTAGATGTTTATATTATGCTTATATCCTCTTAATGCAAATGTTGTCACTGTTTTGAGCACACTAGCTTATAGATATCCTTAACACTAACACATAAAAGCTTTATTTTAATTTCACAGGCCTTTAAGCTAAATGTGTACATGTGACCTTTACTGCAAACATAAGCTATGTGTGTTATTGTTTGAACTCAAGGAAAGCAAGAGACATTGAGAGATTGGCTGTTACCAGTGTGGTTTTGGCAGTCTGACAACATCACTGGATCGTAAAGAAATGTCATCTGGAATCTGCAGACATCATGATCTCAAACACAGCAAGTTTGTGCACGTCTGATCTGTTCCAAACCAACACCAGCGTCACATTAATCTGATTTCCATGAACTGAAGAGAAACAGTAAAGGGTACACATGAAAAATAAAACAAAACAATCAGAAAATTGTGTGTAATAATGAAATGACAGAAGGAGAAAGAACTGAACTACTGAAACGTATTTAATATTTTATATAAAAGACTTTTTTGGTGCTGGCAAGTTAAAAAAATGCACCTCATCAGAAGAATGAATGCAGATTTTGGACCGTCTATTTAGGATAAGTGCAAGTAGCTCACCTCGTTGGAATCATGGTTGGAATAAACTAAGTTGTTCACGCTCATCACCGTTTGATTGATAGAGACAACATAAATAAAGAGCGCAACAGACAGCGGTGTGAGTGGCATAATCTCGTAAGGCACATGGCAATATCTTTTGACACGATTGATCGTGAACCCGGTTCGAATCCAGTGTCTGATGAACACGTTCTTCTTTTTTTCTCCCTCTACATATCAGATTTTGCCTACTCTTTCTAACGAGGAAGACAAGTAGGAATCATTATAAAGTGTGTGTATTATGGAGGACTCAGATTCATAGAACTGAACTGGATTGGAGAGGTGTTATATCCAAATCATGTGCATTATAAGTTTGTAGAAGTTATACATTTAAAATACCCTTAAATATTTAGTACTCCTTCAGTGTACTTGAACAAGTATATTAAAATCCATTAATTTTCATTAGATGTATTAGTATTTTTTTTCAAAGTGTGCTTTAAATGCTTTAAAAATAAGTTAAATATTTGTAGACTAGAAATATATGTACTTTATATAATTTCTTTTAGTAATGAGGGCTATACATTATAGATTAATTTTATTTAACAAAATTATATTAATCTTATATTTTTTTTATTCAGCTATTGGGGTGTGGCTAGGTAGGGGGCTTACAAGACATTGTGCCCAGGGGCCTCTAAATTAAAAATCCGGGCCTGGTCTTGTCTATTAAATCTGATCTTTATTTTGTATTATCTATATTGGGTTCAGATCAGGTGATTGGCTGGGCCATTCTAAAGCTTGATTTTCTTTCTCTGAAAGCATTTGAGTTTCTTTGGCTGTGTTTTGGATCATTGTCTTGCTGAAATGCCCACCCTGATTTCATCTTCCTCATCTTGCTAAAGGAGATGTTGGACTAAAGCAGCTAATATTAATTTACAATAATGAAGAGCAGAGGGTTGCTGAAGAACTGAGAGATTTCAGCTGCTGTCTGGGCTTTCACTGCCTTTCTACACATCCGTTTCCTCATGTGTTCAATACATTTTTCCTGTGTCATTTCATTTTATTACACATAACTTCATTTGTAAACTAATTCGTTTTGTTTAATGGATTTCCTAGGTCGTTACCAACATACAGGTAAAATTTCAAGTCAACAGCATTAGAAATGTTTTCTGAGAAAATAGGTGACGTGTTAATTACTTATTTCCCTCACTGTATTAACGTTAGTTAGCATTAGCAAATACACGCAGCCTTTAACCATTCATTTCACTTCAGTATTACCCAACAGAAGGCAGTCCTCCAGGAATGCGGCTGTTTTTCAGAGAGCGCGCGCGGCTCGTGCTCAGACTGGTTGAAGATGCCTGATCTGCCGTTTGCGCTGCTCGTTTTTGGAGTCCTGCTGAGCTCCGGAGGAGCTCAAAACTCCCTCAGCAAACTGCCGGACACCGTCAAAAAAGGTGTAGACCTCGCGCTGAAAAATGTCAACTCTCACGAAGGAGTCCAGCAGCATTTTCTCTTTTTTAAAAGCCTTCAGCAGTCAAAAATTGAGGTAAATGTTTATTCTGTTTGAAGAGATGACTCGCGTCATGACGTCGTGTTGATGTTGTTGGGTTACGTCACATTTAGGCGGTAAATAGATGTTTTGTTGAAATATAAACTAAATCGGGAGTGTTTATTGATCAACATGTATTTTAATTATTGTGGGCAAGTTTTACTTTGCTAAATCAGATCAAATTATGGTTGTTTTTTTGACTAGCGTTACCTTTTTGCAAATAATGTTTAATATTTCAGTCTTTACTGTATTAAAGTTTTAGTATTTGAATCAGACTCTCTCTCTCTCTCTCTCTCTCTCTCTCTCTCTCTCTCTCTCTCTCTCTCAATATTCAATTCAATAATTATATCGGCATGAAATGTTACAAATGTATTGCAGTTTTAAAGTTTACATAAAAAGTAACATACATGTATAATAAAATAAAAACAGTACAACCAGTAAATTGTAGTAGTACAAAAAAAGATGATATTTATATATAATAATTAAATAAAATATCAACAATACATGACATTATTCAATATTTCACATTAATATTTAATATATTGTATTATTATTCCACATATCGTATTATTCATACAAATCAATACAAAGAGATCAGAATAAACTACATTTAACAATCAACATTTTAGGATAAAACAGAAATAAAAACAATAATAATTAGTATATTTACAATGATTCATTTATAATCAGCTAGGTGTGTGTGTGTGTGTATATATTGAATTTGGATGTTTATGGTTTAATTTATCCTTATTTCTTGTTTATTTCTTGTTATTGGAATTATTGTTTAACTATTTTAATTTTAAATAAATAATCAATAATTAAAAAGGTGTGTATTATTGTATAACTAAATCTCTCATCTCTCTAGGCAGGGTTTGATGTAACCTTCATCTACCACAAATTTTATCTGAAAGCCACAAAGTGCAAAAGAGGAACGGAGAACGCTGACACCACCACATGTGCCTTCAGGAATGATCGGGTAAGTGAAGATCATAAATGAAAAACATCAGAAATGATTCGCTTCACCTCTGCACATACCTGGATAATCGGTGAACAGAGCTCAAGATGTAAGTCGTTGCTCAGACAAGTGTTTTATATACAGTAACATACAGCCCATGCAATGGAATAAGAGCAAGTTATTGTACTGTATTATAATGGTGTTGCTATTTTTTTTCCTCCAGCCTCTGATTGATTGTGCCATCTGCTATAAAACCTACGCTGGAAAGATTGAACCAGAACCCATACCCTATGTGAGCTGTGTGCATAAACCAGCTCTTACTGAGGTCTGTGCTTTTCACGCATGTGTTATATTCTCTGTACATCATCAGCAACAAATAATAATGATGCATTTTAATAAAATTAGATACATTAAAAAAAATGTTGCTTATTTTTTTATTAATGGAGCTACTGATACAATTAATTTAGTAAATATTAAAAGAAAAAATTATTAAAGAAAATGATTTTTAAAATAACAAATAATTTCTAAAATATTTACATACAGATATGCTGAAGTAATACATAAAATCATTGACCATTTTGAATATAAGTATTTTTATAAGTATTTTTATTATTATATATTTTTTAATATTTACATATATATATTAAAATATGCTCAAGTAATACATAAAAAACGGTGATATAATAAAATAATTTTAAATAGATCTTTGAATATTTAAAAAATGTCTTATTCTTACAAATTTTAAAATATTTACAAATTCATACATTCAAATATGCTGAGTAATACATAAAAAAATCAGTGATATTATGAAATAATTTACATAATGTTAAATACATATTTGAAAAATATTTTCATTCTTACAAATTCTAAAATATTTACATATTCATAAATTCAAATATGCTCAAGTAACACAGAACTTGTTTAAAAAAAAAAAACAAAAAAAAAACAATACACATCCCATCACAACATTGGATACTAGAAAGAAAATTAATAGCAGTGATATTTTAAAGAGACATTAGGTGTTAAAATGCCTAAAAGATCATATTTAAAAATATATTTTAATATTTAATTTTTTTTATATTTACATATGTTTTTAAAATATTATTAATATTGATGTAATCTGGCATATAACATATCCCAGAGTAATTGGTGGTTCATTCCACTGTCGTGATCCCTAATAGTGAGTAATAACAAATCTTATTATTTATTAATTATTATAAATTATTACTATTATTACTATTATTTACTATTAAATATACTCCAATTTTTTAAATATTAATGCATGCATATCAATATTGCACTCTAGTACTATAACAATTGGCTGTGATATTATACATAAAGATACTTCAGGTTTTATATATCTTATATATCTAAATATATCTTCATTAACTAATACCATTTCATTGTTTTTAACTGTAGGATATGACGAAAGAGCGACTCGAGCGCTGTAATAAGATGGGTTACAGCAGCGGATCCCCAACACTGCTGGCTGTTGCAACAGAATGAGAATACTGGATGTTCAGATACATAAAAATCTCTCCTAGTCAGTCTTTTGTGCCAAATATATAACATTTAAACATCTAATCAATAATCCAAATTCTTTTTGGTCCTTACTAAAACTCAATTTAAAAGAGAAACATACAATTACATGGTTACATTTTGAATGATAAGAATTTAGGTAGTCTTTTAAGGTATATCTATTTGTAGGTAAACATTAGTATATTATATATTGATAGTCTGTCTAAAGAATATCCATATAATTCCATAGTGAATGACTTATTGCAAATTCATTAGAATAAATGTGTCTTAATATATTTTATACATACAAGCTTACAGTCACAATTGCTTTTTTGTCTCATTAATAGAGCCTATGCATTGTGTTTTAATAGTGTCTCATGAACTGACATTACAATTCATTTGTTACATTAGTAAACATGAACTAATAATAAAATAAATGGTTGCATGAACAAATAAACAATCATTTTCAAACATTGTTAATTTGAACTCATAAACAGTTGTTGTACATTGTTAGTTTCTAGATTTATTTTTTTAAATTCATTGTTTATTAAAATTTAAGCTGAATTAAAGTACAAAGCAACTAATGTATAATTGATTGTGTGCATTATTCACTTTGGCAATAGGTTAAGCAAAATAGAGGAATTCACAAGCGTGCCCTGATCACACTGAACTGAGCTAAACTGAACTGAACTGAACTTAAACACTAAAAAACTGAACTACACTGATCCAGTTACTATGACCATTTATGTTAAGCTGCTTTGACACAATCTACATTGTAAAAGCGCTATACAAATAAAGCTGAATTGAATTGAATCACATAAATTGGTGTAGATTGATAAATATGGTCTTATTTCACTGAAAACCCTCCCAATTTTACGATGCTTAGAGGATATTGCATATTTTTGTTCATATTTTGTGTTCATTCTTTCTGAAGGTTTCATTTTATTCCACTGGGTGGCAATATATATATATCCCCCACCTTAGTCCCCCCACCAGTGCCGATATACAGCCATATCGCACTGCTACGAGTGTGATATTGTGTTTATACAACAGTTTGACGGCATAATTATGTATATAAAAACAAAATCAAACATGGAGAGTCTCAAAAACCCTTTTGTATGAGGAACTACTTTCTTCCGCGTTGGATTTAAATCATAAGCTGACAGTTAGAACAGTTGAGCAAGCCTCTTTTAAACTTTAGATCTGTAGTGTCTGCTTTTTGCTGGCTGTATGTGGGCGGAATAGTACACAAAGGGTAAAGAGGCTGTAGGAGTTCTGATAATGCAGAATATCGCACGGCTATCAGCCAATCAGATTTGAGAACCAGACAGAACTGTTATATAAATATATATATATATATATATATATTTTATACAACAGTTCTGTCTGGTTCTCGAATCTGCGTTTAGCTTTTTTAGCTACATTTTAAGTAGAGTAGCTAATAGCTTAGCTCATTACATTTGTCAAGTAGCTTGTATAGTAGCTTGTAGCATATATACATATATATATATGTATATATATATATATATATATATATATATATATATATATATATATATATATATATATATATATATATATATATATATATATTTATTAACCTTTTTTCTCACCACCCCACTGGTCATTTTCAAGAGACAAAATTTTGTTGTTGGAAACTGTATTTTATATACTTAAATTTGACTTTTGCATGCTAAAAGTACTTGAGTAAGAGACATTTTATTTGATTTGGGTCATTAAAATAACTCGGACAACCAATATTATAATTTAGGTACTCTATACCTGCTGTAGTTAACCTTAAACCTAAAATAGCTTGACACAAAATAAAAACAATACCCATTCTTGTCTTAGGACATTTTTTATTGAGCAAATTTTTGAATAACAGTAAGTTCATGACATGTTAAATATGTAGTGAATCTGCTGGTTTTAAACATACAGAATAATAATTAATACAGTTATGTAACAACTATAACATTACCATTATATCTTAGGACATCTTTGATTAACTTTTTATTACCTACACCAAATGTTGACTAATGAAGGTACATCTATTACTATTTATTTTGTTAGACTACTTTATTGTCAAACCGTGTTGCATACAAATGCATTCAACAGACTTCTGACAGTGTATTGCTGTAGAGGACAAATAAAACACGAGACAGGTGTTTAGAAAGAGTATAGTTTATTTTGTTTGACCTGCAAACTTATCTAAACAAGATAAACTTTCAGAAAACAGCCCGGAAACATTATAATGCACGCGCTCGTGAATGTAACCCGCGGTTGTCTTTAATAGTCCTTCTTTGCTCAACAACTCTGCTGAAAAACAAAGCAAAACATTACAACAGTCAGACATAGAGCAAAGAGCATAGAATCACCAAGAGGCGATTTGGGAAACAGACACTAGATGACGCGACGGCCATTTTATCAACACTTTTGATAAGTGTCGTATTGTCATCTCTCAGCTTTAACGCGCTTTTTGAATTAATTAATTAAAAACAAAGCAGCTGCTTGCCATCGCGACAGCAATGAAATCCAATGGACAGCCGATCGCTAATGACCTATTGAGTGTCGCCTCTTGGTCATTCTAAGCTCTTTGCATAAAGTTAAATCATCACAGTTGCCATGGTTTCCATTTCAAACTATAGTAAACTAAAGTTTAAAACTATAGTTTAAAATAGGCGATGAGTGGGCCTCGCTGCTCCCACCCACCATAACCCTCGCAGTGAGGTCCCACTACCGGCCTCCCGTGTTTCCCTTAGGGTCCTCAGGGGTTGTTTGTTCCCTGCCTAGGGCTCAAAAGCCACCTCGCCCCACGGAGTGCACGAGAAAACCGGGCGCCAGGCCGTGCCAGTGTTCACTAGATGTAGCTCGGCGGCACATTTCGAGCAACAAACACGTAATATTCTTCGCGACATTGCGATTATGTACGCAAACTGCAAGGAACTACTGCACAGACGGGCCCGAGTGAAGCTTCACGAACCGGACTTCGTGAGATTGTCGTGGCTCCACTAGTACCGTCGGTATTGAACTCACCTTGGTCAATTACAAACAGCAACACTGAGCGAACTGACAACGCTGAGAGAGAACCGACGAGCTTTATAGGAATGCAGATGCAAATTTTTACAAGACACGTCACTGCTGTGAGTCGTTGTCATGGTGAACGCTGAAGAGAGCGCACCCCATTGGAGCACACAGGCTGGGGTATATTAGTCACGGCGAGTTGCGGTCGGCTGTGGACAAAAACGTATTAAATATTTTGAATATATATTTTCACATTTTTGGTGCTGTGTAATGTTCTGGGATGCAGTAGAATATGGAGACAGATTAATATAATTAAAGATGCGGGACATAGAACAGAAAGTGAGCCCGGCTAGGACACAACATGACTTACAAACTCCTAGTAATGGTAAGCTTTATTATACAAGACCGCCATCTAGCGGTCACATAACCTAAAAGCATGTCAGTTGCTGCTAACCACCCCCACGGCCAAAAGGTCCAGCATTTGTCCTTTTAATTATTTATGTAGTTTAATATTATATGATATATTTATAATATAATTAATATAATATATTTTTATTCAATATATATTCCCGTCACGTCTGTGTTTTTGAGGCTGTTTGGTATCCGATTGCTCAAACCACTTCAAAAGGTGATCTAGGATGCATTCCAGATGAAACTATAATAATTTTTTTAGACAAAATTTATATAAACAAAATAATTTATGACCTGGAGAAAATCTGACCTGCGCCTGAAACACCTGTATGTGCGCTTTTGCAGCCAAAATTTTAAAAACATATTTACTATATAAGCATAAAACATTCTGTAACTCTTCAGGCCTGTAGCCAGGGAGGTTCGGAAGAAAGACCCACCCCTCACTGACAAAGATCTAGAATTTGTCCCATACATGAGCTCATTCGTCCTATTTTGACTGCTATGCCATCATAATTAGTGAAAATAATGCCCAACACTGATTATAACAATAATATCCAGCAACATAAATTCATTGACTGTCCTCCACTGGATGGCACTCTAATCTCCCAAACTACTTAATTCATATTCCCTCTGGAAGTGAAAGTAAAAACAGGCAAACAAAGGGAGGAAAAATGACTCTCCTCCACAAAAACACCTCCTGATTGCACAACCTCAGCGCAGCTCTCGGCGTCTGCATTTCTCTGAAGCTCCTTATTAAAAACCGGCATTTCAGTACTGGATAAAGATGCCCGTGTTTCTGCTCTTCATGCTGGTCAGTGCTGGACTGTTTCTGGACTCGTCGGAGGCTCAGGAGGATCTCAGCAAACTTTCCGAAAACCACAGGAAAGGTGTTGAAATGGCTGTAGAGCAGATTAACTCGCACCAGACCATCAAAAGCGTTTTTCTCTTCTTCAGGAGTCTGGACAAGTCTGAAATCGACGTAAGTGACTTCATTTGACACCTTTTAAATTATACTGAGGTAAAGTTGCTGTTATATTCCTACATTCAGTTCACTTTACCATGCTGCTTTGAATATTCGGTCTGAAATACATGCAAGTCTGACTTCAAAACTACATTAGCAATATTTAATTGAACAATGTTGTATTTTGATAGTGATTGAGTGCTAATATGATTTTCGTATTTCCTTACACTTTCATTAAGTTATATTAAGAAGGTAAAAGTCTAAACATATGAATTTAAAAGCAACTTTACCCCAATTTTAATTAGAAGCCACCTTAAGTGCTTATTTAAAATGTTTTGTTTATTTTACTTATAAAACACTAACAAATATTATAGTGTTTTGTAGTAAATACTAGTGTTTTTGAGCTTCACTATTGTAATGTACTTATAGTTAAGGTAATTTTATTGTTGTTGTGGTAATAAAACGTTGTAAACATATAGTAAAATAAACAAATTAGTAACAAGTACGTTTTCTACAACTACATACACCAGTTTACTGTAGTAAAAACTAAAGTATACTACGGTATGTATCACAGATTATCAGTTTAATGTGATGTAGCATTCATTAGCAAAATGTTATATAGCTAATATACACTCACTTGTCACTTTATCAGGTACAACTTACTAGTACAAGGGCTGGACCCTCTTTTGCCTTCAGAACTGCTTTAATCCTCCATGACATAGATTAAACAAGGTCATAGTAATATTCCTCAGAGATTTAGTTCCATATTAACATGATAACATCACACAGTTGCTGCAGATTTGTCGGCTGCACATCCATGATGTGAATCTCTTGTTCCACCACATCCCAAAGGTGCTCTATCGGATTGAGATCTGGTGACTGTGGAGGCCATTTGAGTAGAGTCAACTCATTGTAATGTATAATAAGAATCCGGTCTGAGATGATTTGCGCTTTATTACATAGCACGTTTACCTGCCGGGAGTAGCCATTGGAAGATGGGTACACTAACAAACCAATATAATCTATATTTGCTGTAAATTTTGCATTAATGTCATATTACGTAATTATATATTAAATATACAGTTGCTAAAGTTAATTATAACTAACATAAATCTTTTGATTGTGGAAGTTGCATTCATTCAATGAAAATGTATTAATAACAATGTATTTTAACCCTTTAACAGCCACCATATCTGTCTGGTTGACCTTTTGTCCATACTGTAGGTTATTATTAAAAGAAAAATCAAAATTAGCTTAGAGTGGTGCCAAGAACACAATTAAACCAAAAAGAATTCTTGGAGTGGAAGTTAAAGGGTTAAAAATATGGGTTAATGCTTAGACATGTTAAAGCTTGAATTCCATGATGAATCGCATTATAATCTGGTTTGTTGTAGGGTGGATTTGGTGTGAGTTATCCTTTTCATCACTTTAACCTGAAAGCCACCAGATGCCCTAAAGGAACTAAAGATCCAAACCCGACTAAATGTGCTTTCAGAAATGACAGGGTAAGTTGCTACAGAATTGAATAAATTGAAATGACTTTAATAGATTTTTCTTGCAGTTATATTGTGTAAAATGTGTAATGTATATAAAGAGCACTAGTGTGTTTCTAAAAGTATTCTGTTGTTTCTTTATATATTTAATCTTGCCTACATTTGAAGAATATTTTTTTAAAGGGATAGTTCACCCAAATTAGAAAATTCTGTCATTTACTCACCATTCACTGGTCTAAAAACATGTTTGAGTTTCTTTCTTCTGTTGAACACAAAAATAATATATTTCCAATAATATTAAAAACCTGTAACCGTTGCCTTTCATAGTATTTGTTTTTTCTACTATGGAAGTCAAAGGTTACTGGTTGCTAACATTTTTAAAAATATCTTTTTTTAATCTATTTTTTTTTGCAAAATAGAAACTCATAAAGGTTTGAAACCAAAATTTTCATTTTTGGTGGTGAACTATCCCTTTAATATTGTTAAAGGGACAGTTCACCCCACCAAAAATATTGTGTCAGCATTTATTCACCCATCACTCATCAGAAACCTGTTTTGAGTTTTTTTTTTTTCATAGAACACGAAGATATTTTGAAAGATATTCAAAATTGTTGACCATTGACTTCAATAGCATTTGTTTTTCCTACAATGGAAGTCAATGGTTACCGGTTTCTAACATTCTTCAAAATATCTTCTTTGGCAAAAGAGAAACTCTTAAAGGTTTGTAACCACTTAAGATCAAATAAACAGTAAGTAAATGTATTTTTTTTTTTGAACTATCCCTTTAATATTGTTAAAGGTTTACCCAAAAATGTAAATACTGTGGTCATTTAATTACCCTTCACTTGTCAAAAACATGTTTGAGTTTCTTTCATCCATTAAACACAAAAAAAGATAAAAAAAAAAATATTGGAAACCGGTTACCATTGACTTCCATTTGTTTTTCCTACTATGGAAGTCAATTGTTACCAGTTTCTAACATTCTTCAAAATATCTACTTTGGCAAAAGAGAAACTCTTAAAGCTTTGGAATTGCTTGAGTGAGTAAATTGTCATTTTTTGTGGTGAACTATCCCTTTAATAATGTTAAAGGAACAGTTCAACCACAAAAAAATAATAATTCTGTCAGCATTTACTCACCCTTCATTCAACATAAACCTGTTTGAGTTTCTTTCTTCCGTAGAACACAAAAGAAGATATTAAAATATTGGAAACCGATAACCATTAACTTTCATAGCATTTGTTTTTCCTACTATGGAAGTCGATGGTTACCGGTTACCAACATTCTTCAGAATATCTTCTTTTGCAGAATAGAAACTCATAAATGTTTGAAACCACTTGAGGGTGAGTAAATTTTCATTCTGTGTTTGTGAACTCTCCCCTTTAAAAAACATTTATTATTAATGGTCATAAATTGATGAGAACTTTTTAGCCATAGTTTTGAGAAAAGTTTTGAGCCGAGTCTGAAATGTGTTGATATGAATGTAATTGATGAAATGAGTTGATATGAATGCGATGGATAATAGTCATAATATTGATCATCTGTTTGCAGCCTCTGATTGACTGTGGGATCTGCTATAAGATCTACAATGGAGAGATACAGAATGAACCGAAGCCGTACATCCACTGCATTCACAAACCACAGCTCACACAGGTCATTCACCCCACATCACTGTAAACATTGCACAGTGACATTTCAGCATTTACAAACAGATTTTTGAACTATTGGACTTGATTTTGTTGTCATTTTTCACAAAGTTTATGATTATACGATACTGAAGCATTTAGCTTAACTTGGGCTTGGTTTGTTTACGTTTTAAAGACAAACCGAAATCTGAAACATTTGATGCAATTCAGACAAGGGTTGCATTTTCAAGGAAACAATGTTGTGCAAACTTGAATAATCATTTCCTGGAAATCAGGTCCCATGTTCAGTTATTCTGTGCAATGAAAACATTTTGGAAAAATGTGACTCCAATGTTAGATTTAGGAAACATTCTTAAGAAGAAATTTATTTTAAGTACCATTTTCTAACTTCAGAAAAAAAATTAAAGAATATTTTTATAATATTTTAGATTTTTTTTAATCCTCTTAAAGCAGGGGTGTCAAACTCAATTCCTGGAGGGCCGAAGCCCTGCACAGTTTAGTTCCAACCCTGCCCCAACACACTTACCTGTAGGTTTCAAACAAGCCTGAAGGACTCAATTAGTTTGATCAGGTGTGTTTAATTAGGGTTGGAACTGAACTGTGCAGAGCTGCGGCCCTTTTGGAAATGAGTTTGACACCTGTGTCTTAAAGGGATAGTTCACCCAAAACTTTATATTCACTTACAGCAGTAACACATAGAGACACATGAAGATCTTCTTTTGTTATTAATAAAAGAAAGAAAGTCAAACATGTTTTTGAACAAGATAAGGTTACAAAATGTTAAAGGTTAAAAAATTTACATTTTTTTGGATGAACTTTTTTTTTGGATAATCAAAGGGTAATATTATTATTTAGTTGTAGTAAGGCAACACTTTACTTGAATGGGTGTTCATGAAGAAAACTTTATAATCATTACATGACACACCTGAATGAGTTTTTTCATGCTTATAACAACTGTCTCTTTAGTATTATTCACTCGTTTATGACACATTATATGCAAAGATAGCATTGTTTGTTACGACAACTTGACATGAGTAAATACATCACAAGCTGTTTTTGTCTGTCATGACAACTGCACATTACCAAGATAACAAAACTTGTCATAAATCTGTCATAAGCATGATAAAACATAAACATCAGCCAAATATTCTTCTGTTCTGACAAAGATTGACAAAGAAACATTAAGAAAGCTTATTTATTCAGCTTTTCTGTGATCTCTTAATCTCATTGTAAATTATTACCTATGACTTGTTTTGGTGCAGGGTCACAAATAAGATTTATTTGAATGTATTTTCTTTATTAGTGTATTATAAGAAAACCATCATACTGTAAATGAAATCGTTCTCAATATATTTGAACGGAAATGCATATTTAATGTTTGTTTTGATGGTAATCAGTGAATAATAACTATTATTTTTATCATTTCAGGACTTGTTGAATACGAGAATTGATCACTGCAAAAAAATGAGCTACACTAATGGATCTCCATCTCTCCTAGCAGCGATAAAGCCGTAGAAGATCACATCGTATTTCTTTAATGTCACTTTTTAAAGAACCGATTTTGATGTATTCAGTAATACTGTAGGCATCTTTGCATTGTACATCATCATTTCAATACAGATTTTTTACTGTGCATCTTAGATTAGTGGCAGTAGTTATTATGAGTGCCATTTATTTGTTTTGTTTCAATAATCAGAATGTTTAATTAGTATTCAATAGGACACTAATCATTAAAAATGTAATAGTATGAATTTTTTATGTTGGACAAGGTTAAACAAGAATGTGTTTTTAAGTCCTTACTTTTTCATTTATTATTCATGCTAACATTAAAATTAGCCTGTTTTATGTTTTTCTCAATGATTCTCTTGATTCATGCATCGGGTATTGTTAGTAAATGAAGGTATTTCTTAGATTTTTCTTTCAACCTTAAGGTAAACGGGTTCAGAAATGAACACCTTTCAAGAAAAAAAGGAGGAAATGTGTTATCCAGCCCTAAATATTGTGCCTTTTTATGATGCTTTGTAAAAAAAAAAAAAAAAAAAAAAAAATATATATATATATATATATATATATATATATATATATATATATATATATATATATATATATATATTCAAACTAATAAAATAGGTGACGCAGTAGGTAGTGCTGTCACCTCACAGCAAGAAGGTCGCTGGTTCGAGCCGAAAAGAAAATGAATGAGTGAATAAAATATTTATACAACATATTGTGCCTTACAATGTTTTATCATTTTTTTTAATAAAAATATTATGTATATATGATGTATACACAAATATATAAATTAGGTATTATATAAATATTTACAGTTATATAGAATTATTAAAATTCATTTATTCATTCCAATGTATCTCATGTCTTTGGACTGTGGGGGAAACCAGAGCACCCGGAGGAATGACCTTCTTGCTGTGTGGCGAGTCTGGCGACAGCACTACCTACTGTGCCACTGTGTCGCCAATTTTTAAAATGATAAAAAATAATCTATTAGAAATGTAAAATATAAAATAATAATAAATAGTCAGAATTATAAGACCCCCTTTGATTTTTTTTTAAACTTTTTAAAATATTTCTTAAAATTAAGCAAGGAAATGTTCACAGTAACTCTGATAATATTTTTCTTCTGGAGAAAGTCTTATTTGTTTTATTTCAGCTAAAATAAAAGCAGCTTTTAATTTTTTTTTAAAACCATTTTAAGGTCAATTATTAGTCCCTTTAAGCTATATATATATATATTCGATAGTCTACAGAATTATACAATGACTTGCCTAATTACCCTAATCGGCCTAGTTAATCTAATTAACCTAGTTAAGCCTTTAAACGTCACTTTAAGCTGTATAGAAGTGTCTTGAAAAATATCTAGTCAAATATTATTTACTGTCATCATGGCAAAGATAAAATAAATCAGTTATTAGAAATGAGCTATTAAAACTATGTTTTAATCTGCTCTCCATTAAACAGAAGTTGGGGAAAAAAATTAACGGGGGCTAATAATTTAGGGGGCTAATAATCCTGACTTCAACTGTATATTTGAGTTGCCTTATTTGGTTTTACAGTACTCAGTTGGTTTGAGTTCTCTTTATTTATTGGGTTTTACTGTGCTTAAATTGCTTTGTTTACTCAAATGGATTAAGTTCACTGTACTCAGATTAGTTTTTGAACTTAAATGTTTTTTTAAAAACAAGTAATAATAAAATTTGGGTTTTTTTTCCAAAACAAAGAGTGATAACATTTTGAGCTTTGATTTATTCCCCTAAAATACATTAGATTAAATTCTAATGTTATGTTAATGGTATAAAGTCAACGCTTATCATAATGAGCATTACCTTCCTAAATGTAACTGCAGTTTGTTTTCATTCATTATTGTAGCAATACCAAATACAGCTTCACTCAGACACAAACCATCTCTTCCAGCACTTTTTCAATCTTAATTAACGAGGCTGATTTGACCGTAAATTGCTATGACAGCTCAGAGCATCATTTATAAAATGTAACAATAACAAGAGACATTTTTAGCCAGGCATTTGTTTATCCCTTGGCTGAACTGTTGCACTTTTGTAAGTGTTTGCTGGCATCATGTCCGGGTCATTCAGTTCTCACTTTGGAGGTTTGTGTGTTCTGTCTAATTACAAAGAAAGTGGACTAGGGTTTGTGTGAAAAAATACAGAGAATGTATCAAAATATTAATTATATTAGATAAAAAAAAAAGAATTGCATGCATGTTTGCAACTATAACTAAATGCATCTTTATTTTGTATGTATATTGAAATGTTGGTGCTTCCACTACATTGCATGACTTTTATAATGAAATTAAACATGTATACATTGTTCAGTGTTTGGTCAGAACCACGGACAGCACCTTTCTGCAAACCTAAATGACTTTAAATAACAAGTTAGTATATTCCCGAGTCATTTGATCTTTCTTTTCATTCATCAAACAGGCTTTTTCAGTTCTTTTAATAGATTAACTTCAACTGATATCATAATTATACTTGAAGATTCTTAAATTTCTCTGTAGACAAGAAAACAGTGATGGTTATTATACTGAGAAAAGATTATATGCAGCACATGTACTGTGCACAACTAAATATAAATTGTAAAATAGTTTATAATTTGAAAAAAAACAGCCTTCTTCTGCGAGTATATTTTATATCTGTGATCAAATGCTGAATTTGTAGCACCATTATATCAGTTTTGGGTGACACGGTGGCTCAGTGGTTAGCACTGTTGCCTCACAGCAAAAAGGTTGCTGGTTCGAGTCCCTGCTGGACCAGTTGGCGTTTCTGTGTGGAGTTTGCATGTTTTTCCTGTGTTGGTGTGGGTTTCCTCTGGATGCTCCGGTTTCAAGTCCAAAGACATGCACTATGGGTGAATTGAATAAGCTGAATTGGCTGTATGTGTGTGAATGAGTGTTGTTTCCCAGTAATGGATTGTGGCTGAAAGGGCATCCGCTGTTTAAAACATATGCTGGATAAGTTGGTGGTTCATTCTGCTGTGGTGACGCCTGATTAATGAAAGAACTAAGCTAAAGGAAAATGAATGAACGAATTATATAAGTTTTCAGTGTCAAGTGATCCTTCAGAAATCATCCTAATATGTGGATTTTAAGCTCAAGGAACATTTCTTATCATAATCTAATCAAACACAGTTTAAGATATTTTATTAAATGCCTTTAATGTAAAATATTGAAACCACCTTGTAAAAATATGTACAACTAAAGTATCAGTTTATTAGTTTACAATTTGTAGCCTACTAAAAACGTATTGTGATTAAATGACTTGTTTTAGGTATGCCTGACAAGAATTTTTATATATATAAACTACTGAGTGTACTAACTTCGACACTGCACGACATTTTAGTCACTGTATTTCGGAAATTGTAGTCAAAATGAGTGATAGTCGTTCATTTTCTGTTCATTCAGAGGAACTATAATGTAATTTAAAGCTGTAGCTAACATTTCTAACTGCTTGCTAACGTTACTCTCTTTATGTATTTAACACATAGATACGTAGTCATTTTACAAAGACAATAATTTGTCTAAAACATCGTGATTTTCTCTGTTTGATTCGGAAGAGAAAATCTTTTGTGTATTTATTTACCTTTTTCAACAGTCGTGTTGTCTCTGCTGATTACGGTAATCTGTGTGCCAACAGTTGCACTCGGCGTGTTTGTGTGTCGTTTCAAAGCGGTAAACTGCTGTATGAGAGGACATTTTATTTTTAAACTATTTTAACAGCTATTATTCTGAATATGCAAAAACATTTTCTTTTCTTCTTGATTTGATGGAATATTAAAAATATATACGACATCAGTTGTTCCTGACAGGAGATAATGTCAGTGGACTATCGCGAAACAGCGCGTCATTTCAACGCTCTTCTTCTGAGGTTCTTTTACCGAGGCGCGACGACTGTTTTACCGTGTTCTTGTGGCATATAATGACCATGTCAGTCCCGGAGAGAAACTCTGGATCCGAGGAGAAAGAAGAGGAGAGCGAGGATGAGAGTGAAATCGTGGAGGAGAGTCCCTGCGGCCGCTGGCAGAAGAGAAAAGAGCAGGTATGTGCCAATTCATCATTGTCCGTGTCCCAAATCATCAGCTAATTATCACAAGTGTACATGATTTTAGTGTGATACCTAAAATATGATGCAGAAGTAGGCAGGGCACATTGTAACGTTATGGTGACCATCACATTGATGCCATGGCATGCTGTCTGTGTGGACATAGATGCTGTATATCTCACCCAAAAAATCCCTAAAATGCTTTCTGTATAGCAAAAACACAACACACCCCTAGGTAAGCTAAATTATGAGTAAGTGGGCAGATCATTGTAATTCCCTAGGTAGTAAGCTCACTGCAAAGCACAAAAACATGCTGTCTAGGTGATAAGCTAGTTAGACAGCTCATATGATGCAGAAGTAGGCAGGGAACATTGTAGGGTGAACATCACTGATGCCATTGCATGCTGCCCATGTAGGTAAATTGCAAAAAAATCCCCAAAATGCTGTCTGTATAAAGATAACACACCCCTCCTAGGTAGCTTCTTACTGTGTAGGTAGGCAATTTGCAGATATGGGCACAAAATTATGAGTAAGTGGGCAGATCAGTGTAACTCCCTAGGTAGTAAGCTCACTGCAAAGCAAAAAAACATGCTGTCTAGGTGATAATTCTTTCTCTTAGTCGACTTTCTATGATGTACAGGTAAGCATATCATCCTTTTAATGGACTAGGATGCTGTTTATTTAAAAATATAGGTTATAGCTACAATTGACACTTGCTGAGGGACAGTTTTATCGGCTGTGTTTCACTTATCAGCCCATGATCACAAATGTGCATGATTTCAATGTGATACCTAAAAATATTTAAACAGTTCACAACGAGGGAGATGCCGGCAGGGCACATTGTAGGTTCACCATCACTAGGATGCAATGCTGTCTATGTAGGCAGCTCACAATCATTCCAAAAAACACTGTGAATGTAGTAAGCACACTCTTATAGCACCTTTGCTGTAGGCAACTTGTAAATGTAATTACTGACAAAAATGATGTCTAAGTCGGCAGTTTCTTGAAATTCCCTATTTTTAGCTCACTGTAAATCATAAAACATGCTGTCTAGGTGATAAGTTAGACAGCTCGCATAATACCGAAGTAGGCAGGGGACATTGTAGGGTGACCATCACTATGATACCATTGCATGCTGCCTATGTAGGTAAATTGCAAAAAATCCCCCAAATGCTGTCTGTATAAAGATAACACACCCCTCCTAGGTAGCTTCTTACTGTGTAGGTAGTAGGGTTGGGCATCTAAGCTATAATGCCGATCCGATACGCATCTCGATACAAAGAATACGATCCGATATATTAGCGATACATTTGTGACATATTGCGATGCAACACGATACGATGCGATATTTCAGCACTAACTAATTAGATCAAGTTTATGAGATGATGTGAAAGAGGAAGCTGTGCCATTGAATGAGTTTGATTATTTATTAACCAAGCAAAACCAAGACTTTTTTTACAAACTGGCTCTTCTCTCAGAGCCAGAGTGTCAGTTTACAGTAGAGGGCCATTTTAGAACATATAGCACATATTATTTCAGTATTTTCAAGATAAACAGAATGTATAAGTGCAATATATATTAAAATATATATATATTTGCACTCTTTCAACATAAATAAATTTAGCATTGCACAACAAGAATTGTGATTTAACTTTTCAACTATGAAAACAAGTTTTACAAAGATATATTTTGCCACTGAATATTCAAAACTTAAGGTCATGAACTAGCAGTGTTATGCTGCTTTGAAACATCACTGTCACTGTAAACAACAGGCTGATAAAAATATAACAAACCAGCAATCTTCTTGCTGTGAGGTGGTCAAACTACCCACTGTGCCACCGTGACACCCAATTATTTTTATCATTATTATTATTAATATTATTATTATTATTATAATTAAATAAAAATTAACAGGAGGAGGTGTTTAAAACTTTCGTTCTCCGTGACACTAGGCTGAATATCTTTGCAGATGAACAATGCAATAGCATTCGTTATTGGCGTAGAGCGAGCAGAACTGTTGCGCACGGAAAAAAAAACTTGCAATGCTTTTCTCACCACTTTTGGAGCTGGTTGAAGCAGTGCGAAAGCCGGGGATGCAGAAACACTGGAAGATGCTTTCACAACAACACCGTGGCGCTGCTTCAAGTGAGATTTCAGATTAGTCGTACTGCCCGCGTATTTTACAGATGCGCGGCACATTTTGCAAATTGCATCTGTCCTGTCATGTCGTCCATCCTTAAATCCATAATGTTGCCATACTTTAGATTTAAAACTCAGTGGGGAATAAAATGTTTGTTTTGCTTCTCGCGCTTTCTGAGGGCGCTCCACTAGCTTCATCCGCACACCTGATACACTGAGTTGTAGTGTGTGCACATCCGCAAATCCGTTGCTAAGGCTTACTTTATGTAGGTCGATTAAATTATGCGCCAAAAACAAGTTGACAACACTTGTTAATAAATAAAAAATACATTCTATATTAAAAATATAAGCTGTATCTCGGAAAAATCGATGCATCTCGCAAAAACCGATGCATCTCGATTTGCTTCCAAAATTTCATTCATCCTCTGCTGCTCAACCGATGCACTCGCATCGTGCACGCGCATGACCGCGTATCGATACATATCGGTTAATCTTCCCATCCCTAGTAGGTAGGCAATTTGCAGATATGGGCACAAAATTATGAGTAAGTGGGCTGATCAGTGTAACTCCCTAGTTAGTAAGCTCACTGCAAAGCACAAATCATGATGTCTAGGTGGTAAGCTTACTCTTAGTCAACTTTTTATAATGTACAGGTAAGCAAATTTGGGACAGCTCTTTTTAATGGACTAGAGTGCAGCTTATTTAATAATATAGGTTATTGCTACGAGTGACACTCACTGAGGGACAGTTTTATATCGGCTGTGTTTCACTTATCAGCCCATGATCACAAATGTGCATGATTTCAGTGTAATACCTAAAAATATTTAAACAGTTCACACAATGATGGAGATGCCGGCAGGGCACATTGTAGGTTCACCATCACTAGGATGCAATGCTGTCTATGTAGGCAGCTCACAATCATTCCAAAAAACACTGTGAATGTAGTAAGCACACTCTTATAGGTAGCACCTTTGCTGTAGGCAACTTGTAAATGTAATTACTGACACAAATCATGTCTAAGTCGGCAGTTTCTTGAAATTCCCTATAGTAAGCTCACTGAAAATCATAAAACATGCTGTCTAGGTGATAAATTAGACAGCTCGCATAATACAGAAGTAGGCAGGGGACATTGTAGGGTGACCATCACTATGATGCCATGGCATGCTGTCTGTGTAGGAATCTCACAAAACTTTCCTAAATGATGTCTGTAGTAGTAAAGACAACTCACTCCTCATAGGTAGCTTCTTATGGTGAATGTAAGGTAGGCAATTTGCAGGTATGGGCAAAAATTTATAAGTAAGTGGGCAATTCAATGCAATTCCCTAGGTAGTAAGCTCACTGCAAAGCACGAAATATACTGTCTAGGTGATAAGCTAGTTAGCCAGGTAATAGGGTTCTGAAGTAGGCAGGGCACTTTGTAGGGTGAACATCACTATGATGCCATGGCATGCTGTCTATGTAGGTATCTCACGGAAATTGCCTAAATGATGTCTGTAAAGACACACTCCAAGGTAGCTTCTTGTGGTGTAGGTAGCGCAAACATTGGCAAAAGAATTATGAGTAAGTGGGCAGATCAGTGTTATTCCCTAGGTAGTAAGTTCACTTCAAAGCACAAAACATGCTGTCTAGGTGATAAGCTAGTGAGACAGCTCATATAATACAGAAGTAGACAGGGAACATTGTAGAGTGAACATCACTATGATGCCATGGCATGCTGTGTTTTGTGTAGTTATCTCACAAAACTTTCCTAAATGATGTCTGTTGTAGTAAAGACAACTCACTCCTCCTATATCTAGCTTCTTATGGTGGATGTAAGGTAGGCAATTTACAGGTATGGGCAAAAATTTACGATTATGTGGGCAGTTCATTGTAATTCCCTAGGTAGTAAGCTCACTGCAAACTACAAAGCATGCTGTTTAGGTGATAAGTTAGTTAGACAGCTCATATAATGCAGAAGTCGGGAGATCACATTGTATGGTGACCATCACTATGATGCCGTGGCATGCTGCAGCTGTCTGTGTAGGTATCTTACAAAACTTTATGCCTGTTTTTTTTTGGTATAATTGTAGACAACGTATTATATAGTGGTTCGATATTATCACCAAAATGCTGTATTATTACTAAAAGTGTGCAGCTTTTATAGTTCCCAAAAGTGCAGCCTAAAGCTTCATATGACTTAAGTGATGGAGAAAATTATTTATGAGCAGATTGAAAATAATTTTTTAAAACATGACATTTTGTATGAGTTTCAATCGGGTTTTAGGAAAAATCATTCTACTGATTCAACTATTTTATATTTAACCGATTCTATAAAGAGAGATATGGATAAATGGAAGTTGAGTTGGGATGGTTTTGTTAGACCTACAAATAGCTTTCGATACAGTTGACCACGGCATATTGCTTTTAAAAGTAAAAGCAATGGGTTTTGGAAACTTGGCCTGTAAATGGATAAAATCTTACCTTGAAAACAGAAGGCAAATAGTAGATTTAAATGGAGTATTATCAGATTATTCACCCATCACTTATGGGGTTCCACAAGGCAGTGTTTTATGTCCGTTGCTTTTTTTAATATACAGCATATTAATGATTTGAAAATGGCTTGTTCAAATAAGCTTTTGTTATATGCGGATGATGCAACTATAATTGTGTCTCATGAGAGGAGGGAATTTATTGAAAATGAAATAAGTAAACAAATTGAATAAGTCTCTAAATGGTTTTGTCTTAATAAATTGTCCTTACATTTGGGTAAAACGGAATTTATTTTATTTGGTTCAGCTGCGAAATTAAGAAAATGTGTCGGGGCAAAGATAAAAGTAGGGGATCAAATTATTACTCCAAAACAGCTAGTGAAACACCTA